ACAAATCTCCTCCGGCTGGCTCCGGGAGCAGCTGGGCCGAGGCGCTGGGGGATTGCTCGGGGAGGATGCGGTCGGAGCCGGCTCCGGGGGCTCCCTCCCATCGCCTCCCCGCCCCAGGAGCACCGAGGCCCGCAGGACCCTGTTCCAGGCCCTCCCTGAGCAGCATCCCCGTGCTCCGGCCTGAAATCCCCCTCTCCCCGCCTTCGCGGCAGGATTTTCCCGGGAATGCCCCGAGCTCCGGGGCCTTTTCCCTCCGAGCTTTCCCGCCGGGGCTGCCCCCGCAGCGCTCGGGGCTGACGCTCTGTGCCTCCCCCTCCGCAGGGCATGGAGGGCATCAAGGTGTTTTTGCACGAACGGGAGCTGTGGCTGAAGTTCCACGAAGTGGGGACGGAGATGATCATAACAAAGGCCGGGAGGTAAGAGGAGAGGGGGTGTCCGCGTTCCCCGGCGTGTTTGCGGGGGGGGAATCGCAGCCGCGTGGATGGGGGTGCGTGTCCACCTCCCTGACACTGCGACAGTCACATCTCTCATGTCCGAGACCCCCCCTCGGACCGAGAGCACCCTCAGAGCCCTGCCCGGCCACGGAGAGCCCTCCCTGCCCGGATATATTCAGGAGAAACTGTTTCTTCTGGCTTCTTTCTTAACCAGAACAGTTGGATCGTTAATCCCAATTTCAGGCCTTTGGAAACTTTCCAGGAGAACGCGAGTTGGAACCACTTGGCCAAAAACAAACCTTGTTTAGAGCAGCTCGGTGGGCTATAATTATTATTAATTTTATTATTATTATTATTATTATTATCAGATAGGCCCTTCTGCATTTTAAAAAATGTTTTCTGCTGTTTGACAGAGTTTCTTATTTATTTTGCTCACACTGAGGTGAATATTCCCAGCACACCCACGCACCCCATTTAAAAGTGTATGCGGTCTTTAGCTACTGTTTATATAGCGATAGCGAAGCTGTTTAGATGCAGAGATAGATCCACATGCTATTTATTTGCGGACGTAACATTTCTATATGTGTGTTTATCTGCGTGGGTGTGTAGAAAAATATACAGCCTTGCAAATCCAACTTTATTGGGGCTATAATCGATTCCATGACCGGCTTAGTAAAGCTGATCCGCAGATATTTATATATGTATGAGGGTGTGTTGGAGGGAGTTTAACATTATCCTTAATATTAATCTGTAAAATTGAAGAGTGGCCAGAGAGACCCAGTGAAAGAGTCTCTCCAGTCCCAGCGGCAAACTGGGGGCAGCCCGAGGGAGGCTTTTTCGTTGTAATTTTAAATTAGAATACTTGGAGAAAGGAGGGGGGGGGGAAATCCACCCCTCCACGCGTAGCAATAGTAGTAGTTTTAGACTGTAAGGGCAGAATAAACAACGCAGAGTCAAACTTTCATTTTGCTCTGTCATCTGGTATTTGTTGTGGTCTTCCAAAATTTGCCTGAAGAGGGAGGGAAAATAAAAATATGGAGCTCGTTGGATGAAGTTTTAGTGAATAGATCTGTCTCACGTCTCGCATTCCCCTTGAACCTCGCTGCTGCTGCTGGAAAAATCGGTTTTAAAGAAGGGGTTTGTGGCCAAGGGGACGTGGTATGAAGAGGAGAGGGGGGATAAGGCCGGTGCCAGGACCTCCCGAAAAAACCCCGGTTCACAGGGGAAAAAAAAGACAACTCTAGAAGGGAGACAGAAACCACCTTGCAGAAATTTCAAACAAATATCGCCGGGGACAGAAATCTCGTCTGGAGAGCAATAAACCAGACATTTACAGTGCAGGGGCTCGAGGGGAGATGCGGGATAGGTTTCCTTATTTCTAGAATTCCCCACGTTTATCGTTGGCGAAATCCACGGTCCTGCTGCTCAGGTGTTGTCGGCGGAGTTACAGATCGATCCTCAGGTGGAATTGGGTTTTTTCTCCCTTAAAACTTTAAAGTTCAACCCCCGTTTTCTCCGTTGGTCGCTTTCCAGCCCCTCTCACCTTTTTACAACCGAATTAAAGCCCAGCCCAGGTGCCTCACGGCAGCGATAAGATCCCGAGCCTCGGAGAAGAGCTCAATATTTTTAGAGGTGTGGGGTTTTTCTTTTTTTTCTTTTTTTTTTTTTTTTCTGTTTATGCGTGTTTTAAGTCCAGGGCTACATTTTCATCGGCTTTATTTTTAAATATTTGGAAAGCTTCGAACTAAAATAACAGCAGTATTTTAAGTCCCTGCCTTGCAGTAATGGAAAATATTTCGAAAAGCCCCTGTCTTGTGTGTATCCGAGGGTTTCCAAGGATTTGTCAGGTGTGTTTGCTGGTGTCTCGGGAGGCGCTCACGGCTGCACGTAGGTTTGCTCTTTACACCTGAGTGCGTGGAGGGGTTTTTTTTCCTCCTTACCTGCCCATAGAACCATTGATAGGCATAGAGGTGATTAATATATACGGATTTAAACGTATACATTTCTCTCTCTATAATATATTATAATGTGTTTCTATAAATACATGTATTTCAAGAAATACATAAAAATATTTTTTTTTTCTAGAAGTATCTATATTTTAACTTTTTGAAAACCTTTTTTTTTTTATTTTTTTGGCAAATCTCCCCTCCTGTTCCAGCGGTTTATGGACAGAGGGAAGTAACTTGCTTCCAAAAGTTCTCACGGTCAGATTTGTTCAACGAAGGGGGGGAGTTGAAGCCTTGGCGAAACAAATAATTAGTCAAAACACGCACAGGCACACGAGTAGGTGGATAAATAAATCCGCCAGCGTCGAAATTGCGATTCTGCCTCGAAAAATCACCGGGTTCGCCTCGGTCGGGAGCTGGAGGGGGAACCAGCGGCGCCCAAACATGTGCTGCACCCCGAGGGAAGGGTGCACCCTCCGCTGCCCGAGCCTTTCGGGAAGGTCCATCTGAGAGGGTGGCGTTGCCCTTTTGTTAAATGACCCCCTTCTCTATGTCTCCTCCTCGCAAACACGCTCTGAAACCACCCTGGCAACCTTGCTTTTCACTGCTCTAAAACTTGTGTTTTTATTTTTTATTTAACAGGCGTATGTTCCCCAGTTACAAAGTGAAGGTCACTGGACTTAATCCAAAAACGAAGTACATCCTGTTGATGGATATTGTACCAGCGGATGACCACAGATACAAATTTGCAGATAATAAATGGTATGCACGCGTGGGGGAAAAGGGGGAGGGAGGAGACCTCTGTGTCGGGCTCTCCGGGCTGCCTGGTGGGGAGATATCCCTCAGTCAGCGGCTCGTCCTTCTTTTTCCCGTGCAAAAGAGAGATAAAAGAGAGATGCTGGGCTGCAGGAGCCTCACCTGAGCGTGACGGGATGCTCCCACAGTCCTTGGGAGAGCGATGCATCCAAAAAAAAAAAAAAGGGAAGAAGAAAAGGAGAAAAGTCTGTCGCAATTAACGAACGATAACTAATCCTGTTTGAAGATGAGATTGTTGGCGATTGTGGAGCTGATAGTTCAGTGATATTAAGGAGGGGAAAAATCTTTAAGAATTGGTACTTTGTTCCTGGCTTGAGTGCCGGGAATTGGGGAAAGGGGGAAGGATGGGGTTAAACGGGGAAGCAGCGAGAGCCATCTCCGACGGGAAAGGTGCCAAGGAGCTCAGTAATTCCCGAGCGCTGTTTGAAACGCCTTTTCTCCCCAAGCACGGCGTGACCGTCCGGGCACCGCGCACCTGAGAGGGAGGGA